TATTTTTTTATTTATGAGTAAAGACCCATTTAACAATAGTAATAACAAGTACTTAATAATAATTACATGTCAAAATATTTTAYAGATGTGATAGTATAACATAATAAAATAGAATAGTATAAGTATAATAAAAAAAATATCATGAATTTGGAACAAAACATAAACAACATATACAATAAACATTGTTTGAATGCATAAAACGACAAAAATACGGATCATAATCAATTGTACAAGATCCCTAAGTCTTTAATAGAATTGACTACCGATAGAAATATGTGATCCATTGTATAATTAAATAAATTAGGATTTTGTAAACATGAGAAGGTTAGTTATACATTACATTTGTTTCTATTTAATAGTAAACACATTTTTCCAAACTAGACTAGTTCTAAGGCATCAGCAAAAAATTAAAGTTGCAACATAGTTTAGCTTCATTGGCCACTAATAATACATTTACGGAGGAATTAAACAAAGAAGATAAAGAGAGATGTAAAGTGAGAACCTTGAGGTACCTCTGAATAAACACCAAAAATAATTTGAAATAAAATAAGATGATTTTACTTTTTGAGAGTAAAAACCAAAATATGTTTGATCCATTTTGAAAATCACTCACCAAAACTAAAAATAGTTAGATTTGTGAGTAACAAACTAATAAATCACGGTTAAATACTTTTTGGAAGTATATATAAATGGTTTGTTAATAAATCATTAGATATTAAACACTTTCAATCAAACATGATGTATTTAATTATTAACTGTTTAAAGATTTTATAATAAAATAACAAAAAAAGGTATCCACAAAAAGTTTCACATATTTAACATTTAACAGTTAWTTGTGTAGATAATTTGATAATTTGTGCAAAAAAAAATCTTTCTTATTTTTATATCTAATAACATTGAGAAGAAATCTACATAACAAATGTGTAATTACAATAAGTGATACAAAATAATAAAAATAATAGAATATTTTAACATACATACATGTTTATTCTCAAGAATCAATAAACATATTTAAATTTGATATAATTCTCTACATAGCAAAATTAAATATTGTGATTTATGAAACATATTGTTGTAAGTTACTACTTACTTTAGTGTATCCGTCTTACACATGCACAACATAGACAACTCACATTCACCAATTTCAATATTAATTTTKATATTAAAATCGAAACTGATGGTCAAATTTATAGGTAAGAATGTTATATGTTTTCTATTAATTGTTTTTTTACCATATTTTTATTTTTTAGTAAGTTATGAAAACAAATTTAATATTTGAAAATTGAAAATTCACATAGGTAATTCTTAATAATTAAAATATTGTAAAAAACTAACTGAAAACACAAATGTTCTTACCTAAAAATTTGAGAATAAGCCAATTAACTCTAATAATATCAAAACTAACAGAACTCTGTTGAAACTTATGATTAAAAATGTTCTGTTGTACATGACACAAAGGGTAATACATACTAATATACTGCTATTATACAATATAATTTAGATCTATCAAGAACGCTATCCATCAAATAATTACACAATTTTTTTATTTTCAGCATTTAACTATTTGCAATAAAGAAAATAATATTCATCAACTATTTATAGTATTACATGTTACAATATTGTATTAATGATTTTATTTATTTTTACAGAAATTTTCTAGTACTTATTTCAAATTTTAATGGAATTAACACATTGAATTAAWTTAACAAAAAAAAGAAAAATATATATATTATATATATAGTTCTTAAAAGGAYAATATTTTATTAATGTTATAATAAGCAAGACCATRAGTACTTCTTAAACCTACTGTACCTATAGGCTAGTGAGCACCTTATTCGAACGAGCACATAACTTGAGTTGAAGAATGATGATGTAACAGACATTATGCACAAAATTGGAGAAGGAATTATTTGATGTGTCTAGATGTGTTTTGATTATTCAACAGAAGTATCAAAAGAAATAGCAAAAATAGAAAGTTGTAAACCATCTAGTCTTGCAGCTAAATTAAGRAAACTATTAGTGATTTTGTGATGAAAAACATAATGCTAAGTAGTGTCAAATAGCTCAATAGCTGATTAGTACTTTTCTTTCCAATTGCCCATAATAGGAATTAAATAAAACTATTGGATAATTAATTTGATTTGATGTACAAAGGGAAAATGTATTGTCKTTTTGATTTTTTGTTAATTTTTGTTATCATTAAGCAAGTTTATTACTGAGACAAAAAAAATTATTCTATATTTTTATACATACAATTATTTTAAATCAAATTATATTCCTTATTTGCATTTAAAATAACAGTAATTCATTTAATTTATTTCAATAAAGATTGTTTTGAGAATGTAGTAAAGAAAATCAAGAAGTGATCGAGATTTCTACTTAACTTAAATTGTTAAATTTTATGTACATTAAAAAATGCTGTTCAAATACGAATATTTCAGCATTATATATTAGTCATTAAATACACTTTAACACGAACAAAAGTTTTGGAAACATTATGTTAAATTAATATCTTAATTAATCTTAAATTCAAAGGAAAAAATCATAAGTACTATACACTATATCACAGTTACTAATTAAGTACCTACTATCTAGTTAATGATCAACAACATTGATAAATGGAATGGTAAACCAAGATAAATAATTATGATTTAAATATAATAAAAATAAGCCTTTTAGTCATTTTATTAGTAATATAATTTTGGTGCAGTARGTAATTTTCTACATTGCCAAACTAACTATAATTTATTCGAAATAAGAATAGGCTTAGGCAGCAGCCAGGCAACATCCGCTTGTCACCTCACTCAGTCAATTATCTACATATACCAGCTGTGGAGTATTTCCACACCCTTACGCACAAGTCAACCATCAAAGCCTATTTTTATTTGAAATAGACAACTAGTTATTAAATCAATATGATATTATAATATAAGCATATAACATTAAAATACATAAAAACATAAATTAAAAACAACAATTTTTGTGTTAAGGATAAATTTGTTTTCTGATACATTTATTTTTTTAACAATTTCCAATTATTTATGAAGGGCATTTCATTTTTTAATAATAAGAGTTGTAAAAATAATTCAGATTAGGTAGTTCAATATTTTTTTCCCACAGTATACTGCTATTAACCTGGAGGCTAACTTAAATAAACATTGTAATAATTGATTTATAMTTATTTCTATTTACATGATATAAATATTATTCAAACATCAATATTCATAATTTAAACATTATATTTTAGATATATAATATATATTAGAATGAATAAAARTTTTGGAATWATTATGTTAAATAATTATTATAATAAATCTTATTCTTAAAGAAAAAAAAATTTTGCGAACAGAACACAACATAAATACTAAATAAATACCAATCAGTTGATTTTATGCTCATTAATTATTTTGAATCTTAGATAAAATGGAATGGCAGACCGAAAAAAATTATGAATAATATATAATCAAAATTAAGCTTTTGAATCTTTTTATTAGTGATATAAGTTAGTTTATAAATAAGTTATTAAATCAATACTATGTTATAATTAACACACAAGACAAGACATTAATATTTAAAAAAAATTATTTACCAACTGATAGATACATTAACTTTATAAAATTTATTCAATTTGAATGTACAAATGAATTGTGTATAATGGAATAAAAATAATAATTTATATTCAGTTATAGAAAAATTTAAGTGGCAATTAATTGTTTTAATTCAATAATATGTAAAYATGTTAAATATAATTTTTATTACAATRTCAAAATATTTAAATTAAGTAGGGTGATACAATTTAAATAATATTTAGGATAACCAATCTCTAGAGCTACGGTTTCCAAATTTCTTTTTCGCGGTGCCCTTTTATGGACTACATATAGCCATGGTGTCCTGCTGAGAATATCATGAGACAGGGCAAAAAAAATACTCATTAACAACAAATTTTCGAAAAAAAATTATATACATATTAAATTATTTACTAAGCCTTAGATCACAATATCTTTAGAAAATTCTCGGGGTGCAGTTTGGAAATCGCTGCTCTAGGCTTAGAAGAAAAATATTTTAATAATGATTAATAAGTAGATAATTAAACTTAACATATGTTAAAATTAAAAACAACAAAAATGTGAAGTAATTAAATCACTTTATATTAAAATAGCACATAAATACAAAAAACAGGCATTCAGGGCATTTACAGGAGTGTTGGGGAGCTACCTGAAACTACTACATCGTAAAAAATAGCAACTGGTTATTATACAAACAGCAAAGGTGGTCAATAAATATTACATATTTTGGTGACACCTTCCATTAAACGCTCACTATTGATTCCTGTACAGGCTATCCCAATTATAATTGGATGAAACTCCCAAAAAACATATTTGATTTGACATGAATTACACAAAAATAACTTTTACACTTTTTAAGAAATTGAACACTTCAAAATTAGATTTTTGAAATTTGAACGTGGAGAATTTTAAGAAATCAATAATATTGAATTGAAAAAATGTATATAAAAATATAAGAAAGTTGCCTTCAAGTAAATTTCATAACAAATTTAATAGTTTTTCAGAAATGTTAACGGACAAATAAGTTAGTTGATATTTTCAACCAAACAAAGCATTATTAATATTAATTTGCATGTAATGTGTAAATCAATGAGTGTATACACTCAGTTATTTCTTTTAAAAACCATCACACACTCTAATGATGGTAGTTAATAGTGTTGAATCCACTTAATGAAAATRAAAATTTAATTTGTACAATAATTAACACAAAAAATGGATCATGTTAAATAGTAAAACATATCAACTTAAACTAAGCAGTTCTATATTATAACTAAAATCTATAAACTTACAATACTAAGGAAATATTAAAAATTACTTAAAATAGATACTTTAATAAACTAGAATTATAATGTCTTATCTATATAAATAGGAACACTGAATAAATAGTTAGAGTGAAAAGAATCCAATTGAATTTTATATTCAATGAAGAAGTCGTTATCCACAGAATAATATTCAAAGGTATCATTTTTAAATACCATAGCCTTATCAACATTAAAAGCACACATTGTAGTATCATAATCATATGGTATATTAAAAGATTTCAACTTATTGGTTAACTCATACATTGGACTGTACGTGTATAAATTAATAACACGCTTTTTGTTGTAAGCTGCAAGAATATAAAAAAAAAAATTTGAAATTAATTTGTCTTACATTTTGAATATGAACGTAGAACTTACTAAGCATATAAACAGTGTCATTATAACAAGTCGCACATATAACTACTTCTCTTAGATGTATAAAGCGCCTTCTCCAGGTATAACTGTGGTTTTCTCCTATAGGACTTAGCTCAAACCATGCTGGTTCATTGTCTTTAGTTATTATCGCTAAATAACCTTTATACTCCAAACAAACATAAAATTGTCTATCCACTCTTTTTTGAAAATATTGGCAAGAGCCCATATGAATTTTAACCAGTGTATCATTAACTAAAACATATAAATTATAAAAAAGAAATRCATCCACATAACATAAGATTTTAGCTTACCTTTATCTATTTCAAAGAGCTCAATATTTCGATTAGGCACTCGGTGCTTTGTAAGACCTCCAAGTAAGTACAATTGATCGCCAACAAAATGCCCAACTCCGTGGCGTCTACTAGAAGTAGTAAAACTAAAAAAAAAAATTAATTAAATATTATTTAATTCAACAATTGAAATTTAAAAACTTATATTTACTTTTTCAATCTTTTCCATTGTTCCGACAGTAAATTATACTTCCATCCTTCCTTATTCCATGATCCTCTTCCATATGCAATTTCTCCAGCCATCAGATACACATCTAAGTCTATAAACATAAAATAAATACCATGAACATTCTTACAAACGATATAAATTATTTTTATTACCTTTAACAATCACATGATATCCAGTCGTATCAAGAGGCAATGGATCCAATCTAATAAACTTTGTAAACTGCATAGAAGTCCAATCCCACCGATACACAAACGCATAACCATCCAATTCATTTTTAACAGCACACAAACCAAAAGGAATACTTCTGATTGGCCTAATAAATAATCCCATAGTGTCTCGGTTCTCTCTAGTACAATCTAGATATGGCATCATAACATCTTGTAAATTTGAATTTTTGGTTTTAGAAAAACAGTATTCCAATTGTTCCTTATTCATAGATTTAAAACGCACACAACTTACAACCATTTCATATTCAATATTGTATTTATCGTTCACTAAACACCAATTAATAATCAAATCAAACACATCTCGTTCATTATCCAGGTTTAAGCTATTGTTATTCAATATTGTTTGTAAATCTTCTTCAGTTAATTTTAAGAAACCGGCTTTATTTTGAACCAATATTGTTTTAAAGTTATACAAAATATAAGCATGGGATTTTTCTATTAGACTTTCAATTCCAAGCTTAGAAACCACTGAAAATACATTAACTGCATACATTGTAAACAGATATCTTTCGGTGATAATTTTAATAGATTCAGCAGTTACAAAAGAAAATTGAAGGAGCTGTGATACTTCCAGTATAGTAAGTAAATCTTCTAAACTATCAACAATTACTTTATTTCGTTTCAAACTGTGAACAACCATCACAAAACCTCTGTAACTTATTTTCTGAAATAGAAAAATAGATTTTATAAATAATATATTTGCTGAACCTTTGAAGATATTTCTATATTCAAGTTCAAAAAAGTGTAATTTATATTCACAAAACCTCTTTTAATTAATTTATTTTTTTGTATTAATTAAACTGAATAAATAAATTACAAGCATTTTACAATATTAAAATGCATGCCTAATGAATTAAAAACTCGAAAATGAATAAATGGCACTAGAAATGCTGTAGTTAGTAAAATTTTCATGAGCCTGACAATAATAAATTTATTTTAAATATCAAAGTTTTTAATAACAGCTATTGAGGCCATAGGAATAAGTAAAAAAGTGCATGATCGAAATAACAATACATAATTAATATGTAAAACAGTATTTCTGTAATCATCAGTTGTTATTAATACAATTTATCTTACATAACACCTGAATCTATTATTATACAATAAATTATATAAATACTACTCATAAAAGTGTCCATTGAAAATAATAAATTTGTAAAATCATAAATAAAAAGTTCAAAATAGATTTTGGCAGTTAATTGTTTAGAATACTGGGCGGACTGTGGATCTCCCTGTTTATTGTTTATAAGTACTAAATAATAAACAAGAAAAAAAATGTTTTGATCATTGATAAATTTATAGATACCTGTATATGTATTTTTTGTTTCGCTTTAGATTCTAAAAAGTTCCCACTAAACATGGCTTCAAAATATGCGCTATGTTCCATTAAAAACAATTTATCGAATTCAGCATTGATATCATCATCAAAATGAATTGTTACAAGCTGGTCATCAGTATTTTCCTCTTCCATATTCATCATTATTATCGACTAAAACAAATTAATAATTATATAACTAAAATAAATACTTTTATTGATATTTTTTTTATTAATCTATAGCAGTGGTGACTAAGCATGGTCTGCGATAATTTATTAACTGGACTGACAAACTACTCAACATTTAAAAAAAATTAAATACAGGGTTTCTAAAAATGTTATTGTTTAGAAATGTAATATAAAAAATATTTCCCATTTCTTATCGCCATTTATGTTAATCAAACATGACCTAGTGTTGCAGCTTTATTGTTGTATGCCGTCCAAGTATAATTGTATAATTGTATTTATTGTTTATTCATTTTGCATGAATACTTAGGTGTTATTTTCAAAATCAATGGGAAATCGATAACTTTTTTTATAAAATGGCAAAATAAAGGTATATTTATAATTAATAAAGAAGCTAAAACTATATAATATAAAACGGCACAATGATACAAACATAGACAAATTTGAAAATCTAGTAAATACATTCCAAGTAAAAWAATATCTTAATTTTCAGCTAAATATATTTAGAAACAATGTCAGCAAAACATGATTTCAGTTGTGCAAGTTTCACCACTCTAATATTGGGTGTTATTGATGAAATTTGTCTCGATAATAAATGTTTATTTGAACAAATTAATTTGTCATGTCCAACAATCACTAGAAGAATAGAAGAATTTGGATTTGATTAATTGAAGAAATAAATAATTGATATTTTAAATTTCCTTATACTGGGCTTCTATAATTATCTCATTAAGAAGATATTAAATCCACATGTGTTGTTTTCCATCTTACACACATACAAAATAAAAATAAAATGTATTCACCAGTTTCAATAGTGTGCTGTTCATTTTGATATTAAGAGCGAATTAACTTTATTATAAAACTTGAAGTCTAAAGGTTATCAAAGGCCCCATATAGGATTTTATTGATTTGATATTTTAAGTTTCAATTTTGTGTTATTGGCTATAATATTGAATGATTAACTATCAAATTCAAATATGAATAAACCAAATAATAAAATTAATCTTACTAAAAATTAAAACATATCATAAAAATCAACAAGCAAACACAGATAAGGTCAACCTTATGTTATAACCAATAAGTTTGTAAATTGATAAATTCACTCTAATATTAAAGAAAATAACACAATATGAGGTATGACAACCTCTTAATACAATAATTACACTTATTATTTTTTTAAGAAGAATTTAATTTTAAATAAGTAGTCAGAAAAGTTCCCTTTTATATTAGGTATATATATATTTTTAAATAGATAATTACCTACCTAATGGGGACTTTTTTGTAAATTAATTAAATAAATAAATAAATCTTAAATGATTCCAAAACCGTAGAGGTATCAGGGGTCTCGGCCACCATGCCTCCAAACTTCATTACATCCTACAACAGTAGTAGGTACCTTTAGACAGATTAGTACAGTTTACACAATGGAYAATTCAACAATCGAATTACAACACTATGTTTTCAACTATTTTATTGGCAGCGATCCTTATCTTTTGTATTCAGTCACAGCACAATGTGAACAGCCGTTCGTCGTCTGTCAGGTTGCAGAACGCGAGAAACTCCTTTTATGCGGCGTTTCTGTTGATTTCAATGATGAACCCAGACTGAAAACTGGAACGACTGGAAACAGTGCACAAACGTCAAATCACGTGTCAATATAGCCGATCGGATACAATCAGAATGATCAATGCTCCCTCCACAAAACAAATCCCTGCACCTACGTTGTACTTACGTGCGTGACTCAAACACAATAAAGATTAGCAGCACAGCCCACACGGCCACACGACGGAGATCCAACAATCGAACAGCAACGCGACGTTGTAGTTAGCGTTTGCTCTTCTTTTTCAATGTGAGTACTCGTCGTCTGTCGGATTGCGAGACGCTAGAAACTCCTTTAACGTGAGAACTCCGTTAATTTCGACAACTGACGAGGACTGGAAACTGATAAAAAATGATTGGAAACTGGAAACAACGGCTGAAAACGATGCACAAACGTCAAATCACATACCAATATGGCCGCGTTACCAGCTACGCCCGGGACGAGCAGCGACGGTCACACGAATGCACACCCACTGTACACAGTGTACACACAGTGTCGGAATGGCGGCCCTTACCTTAACTGTAGGTGGAGGTTGATTTCGACGACGACTACCGGCGCGTACTGGAAACTGATGACATCGATTGAAAACGGTGCACAGACGTCCAATTACAAGCCGATATTATGCCAATACGTCCCAGCAGCTACGACCAAGCCGAGCAGAGTCAACGACGATGATGATCGACACTGCACTACAACAGTCGCATAAGCGGTGCACGCACACAGTGTCTGAATGGTRGATGAGACGCTGAGCTGGTACCGGCTACATCGAATAAGACAGTATGGGTACTACACCGGGACATTATAAACACCACAACAGACGCGCGTCAGTAGGACGTCTAGGATGTGCGCATGCGGCACAACAGAAATACCTATATATAATATGAGAAGCACATTAAATGTCCGCAGGAGCAGTGTTAAAACCTGAAATCAGTGTGGACGGCTGTAAACGGTGTTCGTTCGCATTGCTAAATTTTGTTCGTTTGTTTACGTCTGTCCGTAGTGTCGTAATACCAACGACCGCATACCTAATATCATTGATTATTATCTATGSGTCCGCGTTGTTKTTGGCGGTCTAAAGTCGTAATGATATTAAATTATACCATAGCTGAACCGCTGATAAGTGATAACAGACGCCSGAACCGGTAATATACTAATATGCAAAAATCACTTATATTTACTGTTTACTATTTTTTAATAATTAGGTAAAAACATTAAAATTCAGAAAATATACTTATACAAAAAATCCCGCACAACGGTTAGTGGATACCCGTACGTTTTACCTGTTTTGAATGCCAAACTAAAATCTAACAACTCTGTTCACTTTCCGTCTCGGTGTCCGTTTTACAGCTCTCATGCTGTCCTCGTACACTGTTTTGAACTACTCCCGAATCCGAACAGTCTGAACGCACAAGGCGCTACTAAAATAATGCTCATTAGGGTCGGGCCGAGGGCACAAAATATGGAGTACGAATGAAGGCGCGAAATTTGATATAGTTAAATTTGAAAATCTTGGGAGGTGGCGCAAATTTTTATTTTGCCAGGAGCGCCGTTATTGATCGGCCCAACCCTGATGCTCACAACTGACAACTGTTACAAGTCACAGATAATAAACCGTACTACTGTACTGTGTGATTCCTTCATGTGTTGACGAAATCAAAAAATCAGATAATTTTCATTATCGATYTATTTCAAAACTCATTATCTCAGTTAAAATTGTTCACTCGGTAGAATCGCTTGTAGATGGAAGAACGTAAACTGAATACACTGTTGGCTGTATAAACGGCACTTGCTGAAATAATTCATTTCTCCGATCACTAATAGGTAAGTAACTATTCCTCAAAATTGTTTGAATACTACAGATGGCAATATGTCATATAGCATCTATAGCRTGTGTCAAAATTTCAAATCTTGGCAGTAATAGTTAAAAAAAATAAATACCTTTTTATTGATTTGAAACTCAGCCACTTAGGCCGTTAGTTTTTACAAATTTTTTCATCAAGTTTTTATGTATAAAATCAATTATAAACATTTTTTAAGTTATGATTTATTTAGRTAAGTATAATTGTATTGAAAGATATTCTCATATTTAATGATTCTAAAATTTGTTTGTCAAACCCAGTTGATTTTGAGAAYGGAAAATGTTCACATCAGATATATCTGATTCTATGGGTTCATATAAAAAAGGGTTGATTTTTCGTAGTATCTACATTCTGTGAAAATATATCTTACTGTGTATATATCTACATGAAATAAAAGACGTCAGGCCTTTGTTTCCTATTAGGTGATCATGTGATAAATAGTTGTAGCTAATTCTCAATATGTAATTTATTACTTTTTCTATTTTTCTCGAATACTCCAGTAACTTGTTATGCAACTAATGGTTATATTTTTATTTAAAGGGATTGGAAGCGGTGATTTTCTGTCTTTGTCTAACACACGTGGAACATACAATACGCCTGATAAAAATTAAAATACTTCTAGTCGCTCGATTAAAAATATGTAAAGATTTTTGAATTGGTATACAAGTTTACTTTGCATCAGTCGAAGCATATTYTTAATATTTTTAATATATTTAATAAAAAAATTGACAAATTTATAAAATTTAAAATATTCTTATCAAAATATTGCTACAATGGGAAAAGTGCTTCGACCAATGCAAAGTAAACTTGTATACCAATTTACACATCTTTACATATTTTAAATCGAACGACTAGAAGACAGAAGTACCTTAATTTTTGTCAGGCACATTTTATGTCCCACGTGTGTTAAACAAATACAAAAAATCACCGCTTCCAATCCCCTTAAGGATTTTAGTTTTATAGCATTAAACTTATAATATTACTTACCTCACATAACTAATGCATTTCTAGGTCTGTACYATTGTATCWAGTGAACATCAGTCACCACTGCATACGCTCCTGAATGAGATTTTTCAATTGCTTCAGTTTTTGAGAGGAAGCACGTGCCGTGCTCAATGAGCAACTGTTTCCTGAAAGCAAATTCATTTTCATGTGTTTTTGTGCATTTGTACATTTGTATCATTTGTATCTTTTAACACAAGAAAAATCAACAATTCTGTGTTCTTCCGCTGAAATCTAAAAGAATAAATAGAAGAAAATTTACTTTGGTGTTACCCAAATAAATTCTTCATACACCAGTTATCATATTGCTGCAACATAGTGTAAGATTACTTGTAACTCTTCTTACCAAAAAATATTCATATAAAATAGTAAATAACTAGGTGTAAAAATATTTTTCATACAAGATCTCTAATATTTTACAAATATTTTCTTACATCAACTCAATACAGTTTTTACTCATTATAATAGTTGTATATTTAAATTTAAGTCGTCGTGTTTTGTAAACATAGTTTTATTTACTACAGTATTTATTGTTTTTACATATTTYTAAACAAATGCACCAAAAAGTCTTACAGAACAGACTCATAAAAATGTAACATTTCACTGTGTTAAATCAATATTTGACCAATCAAGATCTCAAAAATATGTATAAAAATAGAAAATTTAATAGTTACTATTCAATTACCTATTAAGTTTTAAATTTTCTAACGAATTTTTTTATARCCATTTTAACAAAAGAATTTAATGCACTTTTACCTACATGATGATTGATTCAAGTTAATGAATAAATGATTATAGGTTACTTCCCCATAAAAATACAAAACACATTCAATACTRTATTAAAACATAAATATTTAATTTKGTTCTCAAAAAGCAATAACATTTTAAATACTGCAATAATAAATTTATTATAATTAACAACAACAATAATATTATGTTTAAGTATGACATTATAAGCATAATCACCTTTATTTTTTATTCAATAGATATATACATTATAGATACCTATATAATGAAGAGTATTATTCCTTCTTAATAAATAGATGATTTTAATTGTTCTTTAATAAACATTAAAAATACTAAAAAATAATTGTGAGTTGYAAAGAAAAAAATGCTTTTTACATAAGAAACCAAAAATTTATAAAGCACATAAATATTATATCTTCTAAATTTTGTGTTGCACTAAAATGTTATAATCTACAACAATACAATGAACACAATAATTATATTGGTAAATCAAATTACAACTGGTATTTAATATTATTCATATTTCATTGATACAAACCTAAATCTATATTTATAGCTTGTGTGAATTTTGAATGTACATAATATGTGAAGAAATTGTATCTCATATTTTTTTTTCAAATGGAACTTTGAGCTTTTACATAAATTAGTAGATTTATATTATCATCAAAACTGAYGTAGACTTTAATTTTTAGATTATGCAACCAATGTATCAAGTTTTTTCTCTGCTTCAGCAAAAACAGCCTCGGCACTCTGTTCAGCCGATATTATTACTACCTTAGACTTGTATGCTTCTATAATAGGATCATTATTATCGTGGAACGTCTGCAACCGCTTTTTAATTGTTTCCATATTGTCATCTGACCGACCACTAGTCTCAGCTCGTTTGAGCAATCTCTGCACCATCGTCTCGTCTTTGGATTCCAAATACAATACCATGTCTACAGGTTTTATCTATAAGAAACAAAACACTTCAAATAATATTTTATTGTTTTTGTTACTAATCCCTACAGAACCTAAACAATTTAAATAATATTAAACATGCCTAAGTACCTATTTGTATAAACAAAATAACAACTCGTTTAAATCATATTTATGTAGYATAGATACCTGCCTACCTATATAGTATTACAGTATACCAATATTACTAATTACCTATCAGTAGCGTACGCAGGATATTAGTTTGATTAGGGTTCTATATGAGTAAATAATTTAAATAAAAATAAACAATTTAAATAATTTACCTAACAATTTTTATATAATTAGTAAAAAYAAATTAAAATTAATAATAGATTAACAATTTAATTTTTATCTATTCAAATTTACCAACAATTGATCGACTCTGTGTATTGAAATGACGGTGAGTATAACTATATTTTTATTCTATCAAAACTTTTGTCCAGTTTTATTGTTTTAAAAAAAACCAATTGACACCTTTTTACTTTAAAAATAATGTAATGTAAATATTAAATCATTCAACTTACTGCAGTTTCAAATTCCTCTCCTTGTTTCTTCTCCCGTGGATAACCATCGATCAGGAAACCTTTGGATGTAGCTAATTTGCTTTTGATCTTCTCGTTGAGTAATTCCATCACAACAGACTGAAACACGCACCCGTAAATCCACGAAGTTACTGAATATACATAGGTATGTTAAGGWRGATTTATACGTTAGCAGTTTAACTGAACAATGAAAGCTTACCGTGGGAACTAGGGCTCCTTCTTTCATAATTTTCACCAGCTCTTGGCCACGTTCTGATCCTGTATTAACTTCATCCCTCAGTAAATCACCAGTCGAAATGTGAGTAAACCCGTATTTGGCAACGATCTTGTCACAAAGGGTACCCTTGCCGCTACCAGGTCCACCTATTTTATTTAATAACCATATAATWAGCATTTGACKTATAGGTATAATCCAACTATTTTATTCTTTCATCTTACCAAGTATCCAGACAGTTGGTAGAGTGATTTCAGACATATTCGTTTATATTGATTACAACTATTGAAAAAATATGAAATTAGAAATACATTTAAACTTAGAAATAATAAGTATTTGAGTATATTACATAACATTTACTTGAAGAATTTAAGCAATAACAGACAACAATACTAAATATTAATAATTATAATATATGTACCTACAAGCTAAAACTACCCGCTGTCCGTTAAGGCCTATACCTAAAGCTACTTATTAATTAGGGTAGATAGTACAGAAGGTTATATTATAATACTAAATACACGTATGTTTACTTACAAAATATGAYATTTAAGCACATTTTCATAGAAACGTATGCAATTATATATACAAAATATTAACTATGAACTTTTTAAACAAAAATAAAGTGAAAACTCTCTTTAACGAATCTTAAGGGACCATGTGATTTCTTTCGTCATTGAGAGTTTTYGTAGTAGAGAGTAATTAATAGGTTTTAAATTAAACCAACCATTATAAGTTAACTTAATGTTATTTACGTAATATAGAGTTTTTCGTTGTAACGAGTTTCGTTATAAAGGKTTTTCACTGTACTTATATGCAGAGCCGTTTTTGGCGTGCTTAAGATTTTGCCTACCGTAACAACATTTAGGCGACAACGACTTWGCTTAATATATGGGTAATTAATTTTTAATTATTAATTTTCCTRTTTCAGTATTTCTACACAATAGCGAATACTGAATAGATATGTATTTATTATTCTTAAAATCAAAAATCAGGTACTGTCTTATGATTATCTAAATATAATTGTTAATTATGTACAATAAACTTTTATGGATGACTGAAAATTATATTATTATATTGTATATATTGTAATAAGTGCTCTTTTGCAAAGTTAAATATTTAAATAGGTAACTATAATAATTGTGTTATAAAATAAYAAAGATAGTATTTTTATAGCATATTCTGATATGGTACTAGGTAGTTATAAGGATTTGTAGTATATCTTATTATTTAATATCTAACCAAAAAAGAGATCCCATAAAAAAAAAAACAATGCCATGCTACTCAGACACTCAGTACTCGATATTTTTCCTCTAAAAGAAAAATCTATATAGATACCTATCATAAATATGTTTTTTTTAAATAATTAAACATGATAACGAAACCCTTACGAAAAATTGGTCAAAAATATTTCATCATGTATTCAGCCCAAAAATATATTTGTGTTAAAAAAAATTCAAATCCCCGAAAAAATATTCCGTGATTATAGATTGAGAACTAATCTAAAGGTATCAACTACACAATCTATTTATAAATTTATTATMAAATTTCAATAATTTTCCATTGAGTACCTATTCGAAAACATCGATTTACTTTTTTACAGTCACCGTAATATTATTTTCACCCCCTAACATTACATACCAGGTAGGCTATTTCCCTTCCAATCAATCCCTTAAATAAATTAATGACATATGTGTTGTTTTTACATTTTAATAACATTAAAATGTTTGAACGAAAATGTATTACATAATATTCGAAAATATTTGATATTGATTTTTGGAAAAATATTATAGTGTATTAAACATAATTTGGATGTCTAAAAATATAAGGTCTTAATACTTAGTTTGGCTAAGTTCCAAAGGAGGTTGGTTGATTAATAAAAAAAAAAAAACACGAAAGTTGAATTTTAAAAACTAATCAAGTAATAAAATATAACAAAACAAAAAAAAATTAAACGTTAAAATAAACTTTAWCTATAGGTAGGTGTCTACTTTAAATGTAACATTCCTGAAGTATATATTATGTTAGGTGCCTACTAATTTTTATGGATAAAATAATATAAATGGTTTTAAATACTCACGATTACCAATATACGACCCATGCCCTATTACAGTAAATGCGTTGAAATTTACATGAAATCTAARTCTAACTAAAAATATTTGGCAATTTTAAAATATAAATAATTTAATGGTAGCCATTATCAATAATACTATTTGTAGTTAATTTAAATAAATAAAAAATATTTAAAAAAAATTATAACAATAAGTATTATACCACAGAAAAACTTTATAATATTATACTTKTATGTCTCTCTAACCATTTGACGTATTATTTTAACTATTGTTTTAAACGATAACATTACTTCGTCATGACAAATAAACGGTTTTATCTTGAAATTTCTACGTTTTCGCATAAAAAATATAAATATATATAACCTTGTAACATTATAATTCAAATTGTGATTACAATTGTTATGGTACATATCTATTATTATTTAACACATAGCAAGCATCCTTCACCAAGTGTTTTAAAATGTCAAGGACAAATGTCAATTAAATTAATAAAAACAAACAGATGAGCTCATAATAATTAGATATTGTGCCAGTAACGCGAGACCAGATGATAAATATGAACATAGGTTATTAGGTTGAAGACTAAATTCATAATTTTTGGAAATGAGAATTTTATTATTACAAAATTAAACACAGATGTAAATCRTTATATTAATGATTAACTGTTTATTGTTGTGTAGACGAATTAAAATTGATAATTTTTAGAAGAACGTTAACAACATATTATAATGCCTATTTAGAATTTAAACATAATATATAACCTAGGTATTATATTAAGATATTTTGGTCACATATCACATTCCTATTTGATTCCATAGTTCCATAGCAATAAAAGTTTCAATAAGAAGAAAATTAAAAATCAATCCATCACTGTATCGAAAAAATATTTACAAGACCATTACTCATTGGGATAAATGAAAAAATATGTCCCAGATTAAAATCACATTTTAGTTTCGDTYCTAGTTAGGATCAAAGTTAAAAATAATACACATCAGGTATATTCAATATAAATATCGTGATAATTAAAGATTTTTATTTTTATTTGTTAATGTTTTTGCGTATGGTCTACTACTTTTTGTAGTAATGTAGGCATGTAGACATGTAGTAGCTGTAATATGTTTTACTTATGTCTTCTTTTTCTGGTTATTTATTTTGTAGTAGGCATGTTATAAATTGAATGTGTGCTTTAATTGATTAAATATTATTATGTTTATGTGGATAATCACAAATCAGTTATCTGTTGGCTTTTCCCACGGTTGTCTCGTGAGTCACGAACTCACGACCGTCAATAATAACTAGATATGTTTGCTATCCAAATAAAATTGTTTTCCTCTCTTCCTTGCAAGAATGAAAATAAGAAAAAAATGCACATTGCCTCTACTGGATATATTTACAAAACATGTCTCCCAATTATTTAAAGATTATAAGACGCCTTTCTATCTATATACAAGCTTAAAAATTAGTTAGGTAACTAGTGCCTGTGTATTTACAGAACTCTATAATAATCAATAAAATCCTTATATTATACACTAAGAGTAGATTGTTTTGCAAACCGAATAAAAAATTAATAATCATTTCGAGTGTGTATGACGACATGGAACGCATATAGATTTCGCATAGTAGGTAGTCTAAAGACTGAAGACGGGTCATATTCATATCATAAAGTAATTTAATATATATACTTACATTATTATGTGTTATGTGTACCTACGAGAGTAATACCATTGAAGAATATATATGTATACTATATATTGAACATACTCAATGGCAACATACACATACCAATATAATATTATGTATATTGATTATATTAGTGTTTGGAAAGTTACTTTTTTTATTATTTAATTACATAAGAAATTATACCTATCAAAATTGTAATGCAATTATTCTTAAGTTACTTTTTCATTTGGCGAAGAACATAAATTTTGATTTTGAGTYGTTCATTATAATTAATGTCGATGAAGTTTTATAAATTAATGACAGATAACAATATATTGAATAATATAAAATATTTATTTAAGAACTAAATAAAATAAAAGTTGTTCTAACGCATTATAATTTATTTTTATAACAATGCATTTTCCAAATAACTTACTACTATAAACAGTTTGTTTTTTCAAATAGCTATTACAAAATTGTTAGATAGGTATTTCCAGAAAGTCGTACTTATATGGTAAATTTACATACATCATTAGGTAATAATAATTGTCCTTGTAATTTATTTAAAAAAATAAAGTAGCGAGTACTTAATTTAGAAATTTCATCATAAAAAAGTAACTTGAGTGTAACTTGTTACCTGTTACTTAAGTACTATAATTCCCTACRCCAACGTGCTGTATAATATATACGTATATTAATATATTGTCGTATACGCTATCTATACTATAATTGAACAACTATATACCATTATTGTTAGTTATATAGGTAGTCCATGTATAAGTGTTATTGTTTTATAAAATCATCACAAGCGGTTTATGACGTGATTTTTACCATAGGCATAACGCTATGAAAAAATATACGTCATGCCGATGAATAATATTGAGTWATACCAATAAAAAATTACGATATAACGCGCGTGTCGTGGAACCTCCTTCGACACTCGACTTATTAGCTATAATACATTTTGTACGCATGCGGACTTAGCATAAAATGTTATCTAAGTATAATTATTACAATAATGTTATAATATTATGCTATACTCACGATGTTTGTGTATACAACTGGATGGATATCAAGTGAATGAGAGATCTACACTGCTGCTGCGGAGGAGGACCGTAAAATGTCGACACGACAGCAAAAGTGCGCGACCCGTGGGAGAGGGCTTTCGGCTATTATTTCGTTGGGCGGTGGCGGCGACGGCAGCGGCGCGGCGGCTGAACTATAGTGATAATAATAATATCGCGTGGTCGAAGGGAGTGTGGAAGAGGGGCGAGAGCGAGGAAAGGAAAACTTTTTTTTGGCAATCGGCTMTGCGAAAAAATATTTTCACGGCTACACGCAGTCGCCGCTGTGAATATAAGTCTTGTATCGCAGGTCGGAAATTAAGGTCGTCTCTATTTTTACGCGGCCACTAACGACTGTGGTTATATATTATTATACTACCTATATATATATATATATATATACATAAAAAATAATGTATGTACCTATTATTATTTGTGAAAATCGTCTAGCTTGGTTTTCGTAAGGGAAAAAAATGATATACTAGTATCAGTTTGGCTTGCACTGTCGCCAACGGATCCTGTCCGATTATTATTATATCTTAAATTCGCCGTGTCTCAGAAAAATAAATTAGCTCTATTTTTTTATAATTTATTCACCCCTGCGAATAACGTATACATATTTTATTTTATATATTTATATATGTTACAAGTTTGTACACTGGTTAATTTTTTCCTTTTGGCCTTGTTTGATAGTATATAATTTTTTTGCAGAGACACTATATATTAATTGTTGATTACCTATACTTAATATTATTACCTGATATATTTTCAAAAAAAGTTCTGCTTCAGGCTATAAGAAATTAAAAATGCTGAATTCAAAAATTCTCTATTGATTCATTACGATAAAATATTTTTAAAAAATGTATGTTAATATTAAAATATATCAGGTAATAATATTAAGTATAGGTAATCAACAATTAATATAATAATAGACCAATATTCTTCAAAAGAAAACAATTTTAAAAGATACAATATTTTTTTTTTTGATTGACAAAGACGAAGTAGCAAAAAAATGTCACCAGTATAAAACGGATAAATCGTATGCGTATAATCATATATACACTTATATAATATAGTATTATACACGAAATAGTATTGATCGGGCCAAGGTTGTATGGCGTACGCGTCCACATACATATACTGCGAGTCAGCGCTGTTTAAACTTCTACACTATAATAAGTTCGTAAGTCAGAATAATAGTAAATTGTCCAGCGGAAAATGTCAAATCAACATCGTTTGATCACGGCAAGAGTTAGGGCTTGTCGACGGAATGTTTACGACTATATTAAAGTACAACCGTTATGATTGTAATAAGAACCTTATATAGGTACAATCATAGGTATTACTTATATTTTATAAAACTATATCTTTCTACATACATCTATACGTATACCTACTATCAAACATTAACCTAGTTCGTAACTATGTAATAAACACGGTACTACCAGTGGGTCTGAAAATTAAATTTATCGTTCTATAGGGTCTGAAWGTAAAACACTGAATAAGATCTTTTATTTCGTATTTACTCGATTTGACCTGCTTTTTGCTACAATTTAATAATTACGATATTAACACTTAAATGTTATACTAATGACGATTAATCATAGGCGCCCGCAGGGGAGGGCAAGCTGGGGCATTTGCCCCCCCTGGCTTTTTCAAAATATTATTTTTAATTGAATGTTTTAAGATAAATTACTATATACTATACAACAAATTTAAAGTATAAAATATAATAAATTGTATACGAGTATAATAAAAAAGATTATTATTTTAAAACACCTAGTAAAATTATAATATTTATCCTCAAATCCTAACATTGCCCCCCCCCCCTAGAAAAATTTCTGCGGGCGCCTATGCGATTAATTAATAACGTACCTATTAGTATGAATAGGTACGATAAATATATTTATCTTTTCATTAAACAAAGAAAAATTCAAATAGATTTTATTGATTTATCAACGCTTGTTTTTTTAAATCAAATAATACTTTATCATCTTATAATAAAATATAACAACCTTTAAATGATGGAGAAAAAAATTTTTAATTTCGTTTATTTTCTTAGTTAACTTACATTATGTTTATGTGAGCATAACAAGTTCATTATAAGTTAATTAAATAAACAAGCATTGAATTAAAATCTGTTCACAATTTTTATAGTGATTATTAGTGATGTTAATAGGACATTTCCAGAAGAAACTCTGTATAAACAATGTTTTAAGACCCAAGAGGCATGCGGAACAAAATTTGTATTATCTCTCTCTGCAGATTCATACGCAACATAGATAAAACGCTTTCACATAAAATAGATTTTTTATGATTTTTGAGTAGGTACCTAACGACTAACCTAAAATAGTAAGATCACCAATTACAAAATATTATAGAGGATAATATTTTTAAAGTTATGCGACTTATTACCTTTTTTATTTTATTATTATTTTACTTTGTATACTGTATAGGTAGACTTTCAAAATAAAAATATCGGTTCACCCGATACGCACTTTGAAATTAAATACTTCTTTTTTATTAAATTGAATAAAAAAGARGTATTTAATCATTAATTATTTCATTTATTTTCAATTCAAGTAAAACGTTTATTAATTGTCATTTGTTTACCGTCTTGTATTATTGAACTCATTTATATTTTATGGTGTACTTACTGTATTAATATATATATATATTATAAATTTTCAATAAATAAACGAATTAAAAAATATATATATATTCGTTGTTTATTTTGACTTATTACTTATTAGTAATGTAGACCAAAGTGATAAATTGGTGAACTGAGAAACTAACTTCTGATAACTTGTGAATTTTAAAGATCCGACAATTTACGAATAACAATATAAAATTATCAACGCGCTCGTTTAWTATTAGTTTGTAATTTATATAGTAACATACAATTAGATTTATGTCTTACAATACCAATAATACTAGGATACAACCAAATTAACAGTTATTTTATACATACCTACCCTTATACGGATTTAATTAATTAATTTACTTTTAAATTTTAACGTCAAAGATAATATTTTTTTTTTAATATTCTAAACAGGGAATACTACTGCCTTTAAATTATTTTTACAATGATGCATGATAATTAGCTTTTTAATGCTGTGAACAATTATGAAAATCAAAATATTTATCGTAAAACTTATCTAGGATCAAAATAAATAGATACAATCGACATCAAAAAGATATTGTTTTTATTTACTAATAATTTTTGAAAAAAAGCGAACAAACCATCATAAAATACATTTTCAAGTAACATTTTACCAATTGTGTATGAACCTRGCTATATAGGTACTATAGTACCATACCGGGCATACCGCTTACCTATAGGTATACTATACTATGCCTCCACTACTCATAATATTGGTTTTCAATAAAAATTATTGACTGATATATTATTGTCGATTTAAATTTGAAAACAATCACCCACTCAAGATATGTCAGTATTTACTTTCATTAATCCAATGTTTTGTCACGTGGATACAAAATATACTTATATGAATTTATACGTCATCATTAATTATTATGTATTTATGTTCTATATTATATTTTGTTTGGTTTACATTTTTAAATAAGGACATTCGTGTGATGAGCATTACCTTCATATTACATGGATATAAACTATAAAGTAAGTAAATTCAAACCAGCTATTATCTATTTTTAGTATTTTGTTATTTTTGTTTTTGCATACTAATACTGAAATACTCTATATGAACCGCCTGGTTATAATATAATTTGTGTTAAAAGCCTGCTAGCATAAAAATGTACCTACGGCATGAGTCCAATTAATACAAAGATTTAATTTTTTTTAACTTTTAACGAAATATTTATAGTACGCTTAATGATTACTGAAACTAAAGAAAATGTTGCGAAAAGTATAATAAAAACCTTAGATTTAAGTATTTAACATAATTATTACGTAAATACACAATATCATAATAATGCTAACAAATTATGATGTTTGAAATCATATTCTAAATAATACGATACAAAGACAAATTAAATATGCAGGCTAAAATTAGGTACCCAAAATGTATTCATGTTATTGAATTGTATATTTGACACATTTTTTTATACCAATCTATATCAAATGTTTAGGTTAAAGAAAACTTTGTCTATRCGTACCGGGTATGATTCATTTAAAGACACTCATTATTTCATTAACTATTAATGTTTTTGGAAATATTTTTTATTATTTTTAAATTTTTTACTTTTTTAATGACAATATTATRCATTTTYAATTCATTGTTCCAAAGTAAAATATTTTTGAAGTACTTAGGATAGATATAGATAAAAATGCATAAACAACAGGTATATTATAGATCTATAAGTATTCTAAATTTTGATGAGCGGAGTGAAGTGATACTTTGCAAAATGTTTGATGTATACTACTCCACTCATCTGAATTTGAATTAAACCTTTTGGAATATTAAATCAAAAATGTATGTTGCCATTTAAAAGATTAAAAAAACATTTAAAAACAAATTATAACAATAATGAATAGTAAAAAATATAATACATTTTTCCAAAAATGCTGAATTCCAGAATAGGTTTACGGTACGGGTCATAAAATAATAACAAAAGTGATTTATCAGGACTTATTATTTWAAAATTTTATAACATCAGGAATCAGGATAAAACATTATAAACTAATGTAGATTTATGTAACAAGAATAATTTAATGTTAAATATTGTCTTATCAATATTATGTAATATGTATACTTATATTTTTGATCAGCCTCTTTTTTTAGATTTTTTTTATTGGAAGAGGGGGGATCGCGCCTGTGCCTCCCTGAGATCCATGCTAGGGTAGGTATGTATTATTAGCAAAAAATTAAAATACAGGTATTACGGTACAGATACGCGCGTCGAGATTGATTAAACTGTGTATTGATTTTTTATGAATTGCCCTGGGATAGAAAGGAAATAGGTTATGTAGATACATCGAAAACGACATATACAGAGTGATTCACCAAGCACGTTTGCCCCCATTTTTCTTTTAATTATGAATTAATTCAAATTCTGATATTTTTGGAATTTTTAAATATACACAAGGTCTTGTAGCGATACAAACTTCTGTTTTTCAAATAACAATCAGCCATTTTTTACTGTAAATTATTTTGTGGATAAATTTTTGAACATTTTGGTGTAGCTAATTCAAAATTCAAATGAGTTGGTTTTTAGTTATTCAAATGTTTGTACTAAGGACAATAGTCCTTAAAAATAGTTTTACAAAAATATAAATTACAATAAAAGAAATTTTGAAATAAGTATTTATAGTCGTTTATTACAAATTATTAATGTTGATAGATTTATATTAGTAACTAAATTCAAATCATCATAGCCCCCATATTTTATAAGCCCATTACCATGGATCTTTTATCCTTAAAACATTAAGTTAAATAATTCAAAAACTAGTCGTACGAAATTTAATTCTGATAATATAAAATTATCCACAGAATAATTTACAGTTGAAAGGGGGAGGGGTCCTCATTTGAAAAAACAAGTTTGTATCTCCTCAAGTCACTCTTTAAGTAGTACGAAAAAATCTCAAAAATTTTAAAATACGTTATTAAATTTAATTGAAAAATTGAAAAAATCAGATTTTAAATAACTGCATATTATTGAAGAAAAAAGAGGTGAGCACGCTTGATGAATCACCCTGTATACATTAATTGCATTATCATAAACAAATTGATATATAATATTGACTTGAATGTTTTAGTTGTACCATTATAGGTAGGTTTATAAATATAGTTAATATATTTATGTGTATATTATTGTCATTTGTCAGACTTTGTCAACGGCGGCCAATAGGTATGCGTATGATGTGGTGGAGGAAGAGATTCGCTCGTTCGTATATTATTATGATTGTTTGCCTAAACACGAAGATACCTCTATAGTTGAAGAAAAATAAAAAAATAAAAACAAAAGTCAACATTATATTGTAATCAGTAATCTAAATTGTATATTTAGGTTTACTAGAGCGTACGCAATGGTATCAGCTTAGTGAATCCTATTATAACCAACGCTTGGGTGTTATTCTATTACACCTGCAAAGGGTCAGCGCCGTGTAAATAATAGTGAAAAAAGAACAGTATACTTTAACCCTCAGTGCCCGCTGTATGTTATGTAACTACTCAATGTGTAAGCTATATTATGTATGCGTTATGATTGTTGTTTGGCGTCGAACGAGTCAAAACATATTCCGCCATTCAAAATGATATGGGTGAGTAGACAGTATATTATATATAATGAAGAGTAGAATTTAGAATTTGTCATATAAAATGTATCACATCATGTACCTCTACCAATACAATTTAATAAGTATGTCGAGTAGTATTCACGTTTTTATTGAAAAACAATTATATTATATTACTGTTTAGTGTAACTACATTTATATGCATATCAAATATGAGTGTTTGTGTGTGTAAAACAAAATAACATCTATAGCTGCTGGTATATGCGTAGGTACCCGTGTATCGGTGTATCGAATTTTTAAAGTCTCTATAGCTATAACACTTTGGTTCTAATCAACTAAAAATGAGAACATAGGTTGAGAATAAGGTAACACAGGTTAAAGAAAATTCAAACTATACATTTGATAACAATTAAAATTGAACACTTTCCGTGTTACTATCCCATATAATATAGTTTTCTAAGTAAGTCTTTAAAACAAAGCCTACGTCAGGCAAACGTATCTATATAAAATATAATATAAGCTTCATTAGCTTTATTTTACATACTTTTATAATATTATTGACGACTTTATTAAAACCAATACAATACCTAACTAGCTACTGTCTCCATATAATATATATGTTGTGGTAAGTACTATATTATTTTACCTATATGCGGCTAAACATATTATATACCAGCAGCAGTCGCCGTAACGATTTTTAATTATTCTACTTAAACCCGTGTCTGTATAGCAGTCTATTAGGTTTATAACTCGGTTTAGGTATAATATGTCAATTTTGAAAACATTGGATTATTTGAATAACATTCTCAGACCATATCTGATTCGATTGCATTATTGAAATGTTTATATAAAACTACGAGTTACGAGTAAGAATAATTGAAATTACCTGTACTACATTGGGTTATCCGTTTTATTAAGTACTTTTTACTCAATGAAAGAGACCTATATCTACAAAGTTTACTAAATTCCTCCTATCTGAACAACCGATCTCAGTTTTTAATATTATAATAACAGGGCTGCGATCTAATTGATATGATTTACCTTTTAAACAATACATGGTTGATTAGTACAAATAAGGAACACATAAGCCGTTAACGATATAAATCCTAAAAATATCAATAAACAACATGATTGAGCACAAAAATCTAAGCAAAGTTGTTTATTTGCATAACATATGAAATRTAAAATTACACATACACATATATAATTTATAAAAGTATACCTATAAGTATATATAACTATACTTTATTCTGATTTAATACAAAACAATTTATGATTTTAATACGATTTTTTCTTAATAAATTATAAGTTGTAGGGGGTGAGTATTATTATGCACGTTTTTCGTCATTTTAATAATTCGCCATTCTACCTATATCCAATCAATAGTCTACTTATTAGCACTAATATTTTCCGACATATAGATTTACGACGCATCCCCCCCCCACATTATATTTTGGGAACTGGTACAAAATTAAATCCGGGCCACGAACAATTTTCTAATATATATTGAAGTAATTTTGAATTAATTATTTACATGAATGCTGGGCTCCTCGAAAGTCCGAGCTCCAGTACCATGGATCCTTCTGTTACGACATAGTAGGTATAGTTATAATTTATAACTTATAAATAATATATATGCAAGGTATAATGTGTAGATACTAGATATAGTAATTTTATAGTTTATGACATTTTCAAACATACATGCAAAGGCGTATTTTAGGGGGGCRGAGGGGGCATTCGCCCCACCCCCATCACTCGTATTTTGTCTATATAATACATTGATTTAATTAAAACAATTTCTGTTTGATAAATATCGTAACTATCRTTACTATTTATTTGCTAATATTGGCCTAAAATATATTTTTGTAGATTGAAAAAATGGTTACGTTCCAGAATAGGCCAAAATCGCTTAACAGGTTTGGCTTTGCTGCATGTTCACAGGCATATTGTTATATCAGTTGATGATATAATTGACAAATTTTCTAAAATGAAGATAAGGAAAACTGAATTTGTTATTTGAAAATTTCAGTATTTAACTACCTACCAAACTTATGTTGGTATATATTTGCTATATATTATATATATTAAATCAATATTTAATAATTAAATCTGGTACTCATATTTTTATTTATTTACATGAAAAAAAAATTRGTTTCGCCTCCCACCTCCCCCACCATGGTMTTCACTCAAATACGCCCTTGCATACATGCACATTAAAAGTGACAACGATGTATAATGTTTTTCAGTGCTCAATAGGTTTGTTATCAAAAATATCGTCCAAGATAATAACAGCGCTCAATAGGATATTATCATTTATTAGTAAATGGATCTCAAATATTTTGTAAAATTACACTCTAAATKAAATTAAATTTTAGAGCCCTGGCCATTAAAATATTACTCAAGTACTTCCTTGAAACTTAAATCCCTMGCTATATATTTATGGYGTGATGGAAGCCTATAAGTATTTTTAAAAACATGTTTCCATGTCTCTGTATCTTTTTTTCGAAATAAAATCATTAGTACTTAGTAATATACTACGATAAAATATAAATTATATAATATACAACTTACTATTGTGATATAATTGTAGCGTACACTATATTATACGTTCCTTATAATAATAATACCTTGTTCGTATTCGTKTATTCTCGCAATTCAACTTATTTACAAAGTAAAATAATTAATTAATTAGTTTTTTGAAATAATATATTCGTTACCATGGCACTGGACAGGTATTTTATCTACGTACATGATGTATTGCAAGTTATCGTTGTACATAATAAACATTTCATCTAACTCAACTGGTATAGTGTGTTTAGGAACGTTCGATATGCACAATATGATTTTATAACATTGTTATGCGAATATTATTCAGTGTACAGGCCGGATAATAATAATAAATAGTAATATATAAGTACATTAAGATTTTGACTTTATTATTATTTTTTTTTTTTTTACAGCGATTCTAATGACAAATTTGTTTTTTCTGTACGGGATTTATGTTCTTCTTATTATCGGTCAGACCGCATTGAGTTCACAGTAAGTAAAAAATACATATTTAATTGTACAGGCTACGTTTCTTAATGGCATCCGTGTCCCAACTCTAAATACTAATATACATACACGTCGGACTATTTTAGTATTATAATAATATTTATATAAATATAAAGTTGGTATGGCTAATTATTTGTTCACCCATACTCGTTTAAAACCATGCATGTACAATTATTGTACAATTACAATGTGACGTTAAACAYAGTCGTATAAATCGTAAATGTTGTTCAACATGTAATACCAAGTCGATCTTATTACAATTTAAGTACCTACCATCTTAATGTTTGTCACGACGCTAATTTTTAAATCATAATAAAGTAAACATAAACAAGAAAACGTTATTACACTTAGTATTTACATATACAATTAACGTTTTGAACATTAAGTTCTTGAATAGAATAAAAACAAAAACAGAAACCTAACAAGTCAAAAGAGTTATATAAAAGTAAAACATAAAATAATATTTCCCCCATTAATTTTTACAGCAACAATGTAGTGTTTTAAAGACATTAATTTTCAACAACTAAATTAGTACAGAATTGTTTGAAACATTAGAATATGTAAAATGTAATTCTAATATATTTTAAAACATATGAGTGGCTTACCTATAGTTTATTGTTGGTTCTTACTTTTTTGTAACAAATGTTTATAAAAATAAATTTTATTTGACTATGTCCTAGTATAAGTTTTGACAAAATATTATACAGCTAGTGCTAAACCTACATTGTAAATAATAATAAATTAAAAATTAAATTAATTTTTTTTTTAAGTGAAATATTGATAACTTTTTAGTCACTTCAGAAGAAACATACTCTTTGTAGTCATGTATTTTTATGTACAAAAGTTTGTTTTAAACAAATATATTATTTTTAAGTATCAACATTTGATAATTATTTAAAAATTCAATAAATACAAGTTGTGACACATACAATGCATACTAGATGTAGCTCTTGACTCCTTTAAAACCATCACAAGTATAACACTGATATAATATAATACATCGAACATTTATGTTACGCTTATGGTTAAATACTATTTGAAAATTCAAGAAAAAAATGATAAAAGTATAAATTACAAAGTTTCAATTACCATAGAGGGACATTTTTAATTTATTTTTAAAAAACTCATCAGTTATGTAGAATTGTTTAATATCAAAATAATATTATATAGTAATTTTTGAATTATTATGTAGGTATTTATTTTGGTGTTTTGGGGTGATCATTTGGTAATCATAATTTAAAAAAAACTAATATTTAAGTAATACACGTCATTWAAAACTCATCTAGTTGTTTGTAATGAAATTATAATAGTATATATATTAGACTCTATACTGCAGTGCTTGGGAAATTCCTTTAAAAAAGGAATTTATTATATCAAGTTAATTTTTTTTTATAAAGAAACTAAATCGTTTCTCAACCCAAACTTAATRAAAGGAACTAGTTCYTTTCCTTGTACCTAAATTAAGAACATTTTTCGTACCTCAATTATTTTAAAACTGTATTAATATAATTTGTCGTAACCATTGTTTAATAAATATTCGGCAGTTTTTGTTTTTAACATTTTTAATTTATTTATTTCTTACAAGTTATTTATTTCTTACAAGACCGCTGTGACTGACTTGACAATTGTTGTTAACATTAATATTATCATATTATATAKTTTTATTATATGAGCAAAAACATTATTTGGTTTTGTTTTTAATGCATTTCAATAATTAAATAAATTATGATCAAACGACGTTACAAATAGGCAATTTCAGRTACAAGGTAACAACTGTCGCGAGTTGGTGTTTCCGATGTTTTATAAACATCTATAATAATTAATAATTATAATGCGTTAAATGCCAGTTGATATTGGCATATAACATACTTAACAAAACCAACATACATAACCAATACCTAATACTTATATATTTTCCGAGTTCTAATTTATTTAATTAAAAATATATGAACAGACAATTATTATTTATTAGACAGTTTTATGGAATATTTTAACCATCAACTTTTGTTTGTATAGCTCCTGTATTCCTTTAACCTTCATTTGGCCACACTTCATTTGGCGTCACCGCCACTCTTGCATAGTATTATTATTATTTTTATTATTATTATTATTATTATATTTCGTACCCTCGCCATCTATTAATTGTACAAGAGTGTTATTAGACCGACCACACCACCACACTATATTAAAAAGGCTTGTACACCTAATTTCACTGATCTAGCCACATCGCTCTGGCTATGAAAAAAAAACAAAAATGTACAGTTAAATCGCAGTGCGTTAGAGCCAGTATTATTACAGAATATAACAATATTATTAGGTATAAAATAATAATTTTACAACGGTTTACTTATACATAAGTGTGTACTTCGTTATAATTCGTTTATAAGTTGAGAAAAAAAATTAATAATAGGAAGTTCGTATGGATGTACTGATGTACTAGTAACTATGATAGTGTACACGATATTTAGTTGTTATATATAACCATAATTGGTGGATGGGAATCGAGGCAGATGGGCCTAGTCTCCATGCCCCATGGTYCATTTATCGATGTTAAAATATAGTTATGACGTAAAACGTATAACAACATAGGAAAATAATACGTATATTATATTATAATAATGAATTTATATATCATGTAGGTTTATATTTAGGTTTCTGAATCATATTCATTTTGATACGTAATTAATAACTATACCTTATACTTGGTATTTATAAATTAACCCGGAAACATCTTATTTTATAGCTATAACTAKACCAACGTGACAGAGATTTAGATATATCACTATATCTTTAAGTGTTTTGAACCACGTTAAAAATATATCAAGTGGTAAATCCAATCTATGACTTATGGGTTGTTCATCTAGRACATATTGTGTCYAGTCCATAAGTTAGATTAAGTAAAAAAGAGAAACTTGGTGAAATTTTAAAACTTTAGATTTAAAAATTACATATGCACCTAGCAGGGCTTGCATTCCATAACATATGGATTGCCCACCTGATAATAAATTGCTAGCCTAATCACGAGCTAGTTTCAGTATTTCACGGGCTCCCTATTTGGCACGGAAAGCGGTGGGTGGAGTGGCTATAATCAGGGGTGCCATTTAGGGGGGGGCAAGTGCACACCCTGAATTTATTATTTGCTATTGGCCTAGGCGTCACTGATACACGGCCTTGCCACCTTGGCCTTCAGTTTTCCTATCTTTAACTTTATGGTTTAGGGCATAAACTGCTTTTAATGATTGATTTACGAATGATGTATTTTCTATTTTTATTTATATTCTAATTTCAAATATAGGTATCTAACTATTAATTGAATTTATGCGTTAAAAAATTTTAAAATAGTAATAGTTGAATGGTAAGATATCTAGTACCT